AGGAGCTCTCGAGGTAGGAGGAGGTTCGGCTAGAGTTGCGGTCGATGGCCTACGATGGGGTGGGGTGAAGAGGGTGGGATGGCATGGAGGGTTAGTGTGGGTCCAGGCAGCGTGCACAGGAAGACAGCTGCGTGGCACGGACAGAGGAAAGATGTGTCCGCGTGGATGTGGCAGTGGGGGCACAGAAGGGGAAGGAGTGTGACAGAGACCAGGATACCAAGGAAGACACAGCAAGGAGGGGACAAGCAGGGTGAACAGGACAGACCAGAATGTGGACCAGAGAGCCAACAGGCAGGAGCGCAGAGGGGAGCACGGACAGAGCGGGACCCGGCAGGGGCACGGGTGGGAGAATGGCTGCGGGCGTGGAGGTGGAGAAGGAGAAAACACCGCAGGTGGTGACGGGAGTGTGGGCAAGGGAGGGGAGTGAGGGTGAGCCGGTGAGTTCAGGGCTGGGCAGGGAAGGACGAGGGCACAGATGTGGAGGAGGGAGAGTGTAGACAGAGGAGGCTACCGTGAGGATGGAGGAGAAAGAATCCTAGGACAGAGGAGGTAGATGGTGATGAGGCAGTGGGAGCAGCTGAGAGAGCCCTGGTTCCAGGCCTGGCCCCACTCCAGCCTTGCTTGGGGCTTCGTTGCGACTCAGAGTCCCCATCTGTGAAATGGGTATGGGGACTCAACCACTCTCCCCTCCTCCGTTGCTGGTCAGGAGGTGAGGATGCTGGCAGGGAGAACAGACCCAGTGACGAAGGTGGCCCAGCCCTGAGACCTGCCCAGGCCTCTGCCTTGGCACTGGAGGGCCCCCAGCGCCCACAGTCCCAGCCACACACCCTGGCTTCTCAGCACGCACCAGATGGGCCATTCACTGCCAAGGCCGGCCCACCCTCTAGCCACCTCGTCCCACCTTATGTGATCTTCAGAGCTGACACCTCAGAGATCTGAGGACAGTGGGGGAATCCTGTTAAAAATGCAGGGGGGCTGGCAGGACCCACAAACCCAGATTCACAACAATCTGGGGAAAACCTGTCCAAAAGTCCCTCTGTCCCTGCTGCTAATAGTCCCCTGGACCGCCATGCAGTGCAGGTCACCTGGGTGACAGGCACAGAGCTAGAACAGGGCCTGGGACACATGTGAGCTGTCGGGTCCCAACAAAAATGTTACCTGTCTGGAGAGAAACCCCAGACCACCCAAGAGGGCTGGTGGCCCGATTTCTGTCTGTTTCCTCAGGAAACTTCACACTCACACACCAATGCGCTTGTCTGATTGGTGCCTATCACCCCAACTAGCCAGCAGCCCGGGGGCAGGGCTGGGCCAAGGCCCACCTTGCCGCCAACAGCCCACCTGCAATGCCCTAACTCTCCCAGGCTCCAGACTGCTGCACTGAGCACTTCACTTCGAATCTTTACATCTGAAAATTCAGAGTCTGGGATGCAGGGGGAGCCCGTGGTGGAGCCAAAATTCAAACCCAAGTCTGTCTAGGTCCCTGGGAAGGGGCAGAATAAAGGGAGCTACACATGGGGGTCCCTCTTTATCTGACACAGGATGGGGGAGCCCAGAGGTTCAGTTGTTTCCTTAGGACCATTCAGATTGCTACGTCAAGGGGGCAGTTGAGAGTCTCCTGAACAGAGCGGATTAAAGGGAGAGAAACAGGCCATGCGGGGCAGTGAGGTTATAGTGGTTGGGTCTGCATATCACTTACATGCTATTTACATACCCCCATCATTTCTGCCTCTGCCTGAGGCTGTGGTCCATGTGGCAGCAGAAGGCTAGTTAAGATAACCTTGTGATGCCTACTACATGGACTCCACAAATCCAAACAAAGGCAGGAGGGGTCCGCCGCCTCCTTCAGGAAGCCCCCCTAGGTTAGTTGGCCACAGCCAGGATGTAGGAGGAGCTCATGCTAAGGTGAGGTCACACGCGTGCAGGTGCAGGGAGGGAGGGCACCTGTCTGGGGTCGGCCCCACAATATGGGGGTGCCCGGCGCAGCACAGCCTTGCTGCCTCCTGGAGCATAAGCAGAATTCACCCAGGAGTGTGAGCGGTCGATACCCTGGAGATACACGGGTAAGTGGTAGAATCCATGGGCAGACAACAAAGAAACCAGCATGAAAAACCCGGTGTGGCCCTGACTGGTGCGGCTCCAGGGACTGAATGCCAGTTGGATGCCCAGTCAGGGCACATGCCTGGCTTGCAGGCCAGGTCCCCAGTGGGGGTGTTTGAGAGGCAACCACACATTGACGTTTTCCTCTCTCTCTTTCTCCTTCCCTTCTGTCTATAAATAAATAAATAAATAAATAAATAAACAAATGAATAGGAAAACCAAGCGTGAACACAGCCTTGGACTGTATGCCCAATAGGTACCCACACAGAACCCTGGGAAACTGGTGTGTGTGTACGTGCACGGGGTGCATGAGTATATGAACCTGTGTTTGCATGTGCATGGGACACACACCGGTGCCCACGTATTCACACATGGGGGCAAACACGCACGTGTACCATGTATACATGCACATGGGACACACATGAAATGCATCTGTGAACATACAAACACGTTACACATATATGTGTTCTCTCTGTGTTAATGTATCCCACATATGAGTGCTTGGGGCACATGTATACACCCATGTACTCACACATGGAACACATGTGTGCCTCCAGGGTGTGTACAACTTTGGCGCACATGTATATACACTGTGTTTTATGCACACCGGGCACATGTTTCATGCCCCACACATGTACATACACAGGGCACACATGTAATGCACCCATGTATGTGTGTGCATTGGGTACATATGTAAATGTGCCTGCTGCACTATGTACACACTGCTCTTTTAACAAGCAGGCCAAGCTCTAGCAACCCACCCTTGGGTCAGCCCCAGGGTAAACCCCACAGCTCCACCCGCCCTGTGACAGCCGCAGCCCAGTTCTGCTGCCCAGGGTCCAGCCTATGTCCGTGCTGTCGCCTGTTGTTTCCTGCCGTCCATCAACACTGAGACCCTTCATCTACCCCCTCACCACTGAGGCTAGAGGTTCCAGAGTCCCCCTCGTCCCACCTTGCTGGCCAAGATGCGGGAGACCTCGTCGTCCACAGAGCCGGGGGCCACGGCCAGATCGGGATTGCTGCTGCTGATGCTCTTAGAGCGAGCCAGGTAGAGGCTCGCCGGGCGGCCAGGGCCCCGGGCCAGCGTGGCAGGCTGCACCGTCACCGGAGAGGCCCCTGAGCGTGAATGAATATGGTCAGCCACCTGCCTGCCCGCCCCAGTGACCTGCCTCTTCCCAGGGAGCTGCTTTTGGTGGAGTCACTTTCTTGTTCAGAGACTCCAAGTTTCTCACCTTACTGTAAAATGTCTCATAACAATTTTGGGGGAGACTAGAAAACACTGAGAACAGTGCCTGTCACATAAGTGCTCAGAGTGGATAGCAGTTATTATTAATTATTTAACAAATGAGAAAAAAATGCAACTTTATTGAGTACTCACTGTGCCTAGCATTTTGCATGGATTACTATATCATTTATGATTACCAGCACCCCCAGAAAAGGGGGACGCATTATTGCTGTTCTGTAAACAGGAAAACAGGCTCCAGAGGCGAAGGCACTTGCCCAGGGTTACAGAGCGTACAAGAGGCAGAGCTGGCATTCGAACCCAGAGAACCCTGCTTGAGCACCTGCTTGTAATTGGCTGAATCACCTGCCAGCAAGTATACACAGACCACACCACTCGGGATGGAGTAAAAGGTTATATCTCTTGCAAGTTGCCCAAACCAACCAAGGCCTATGTGGCCTCAGGACCTCTGCACATGCTGTTTCCTTTGTCTAGTCTGCTTTCCTCCCAGATATTTCCCATCCTCTAGATTCTCCCACCAATACTAACCACCCAGGAGGCTGGACTCGGTGCCAGGCAGGCGGAAGGCATAGTAGACATAAGCAGCCAGCAGCGGGCAGTGACCACGGGCATCCTGGGCAGCTTCCAGACTCCGATGGATAAGGCTGACTACATGGGCCATCGCTTCAAAAGCTCCACGACCCAGGTTCACTGCCAGGCAGAGCAGAGGTCAAGTTTCTTCCTGACAGACTTTATGGTCCAAGGGATGGTGTGGCCATCAAAGGGTCACAACCTAGCGAATTGGGGGTCATTTTCTAGATGGGAAAACTGAGTCCAGAGAGATAAGTGGGTCATAGGAACTAGGCCCATATATCTAGGTCACCCAGCACCAGGGGGGTAAGGGGCCATTTTCCAGATGGGGAAACTGCGGTCTGAGGCAGTGCCTGCTCACCAATTTGGCCGGCGATGATTGGGGGCCGCACAACCAGACGCACGAGCTTGTCCAGCACGTGGTGAGAGAAGGCGACGAGGAACTCGGGGCTTGTGAGGCGCAGGGCGGCCAGGCTGGCCCGCAGCTCCTGCTCCACGGTGCCCTCACTCAGCACCCCGTCCTTGAGCCGGAATGGGAAGGCGCCCTCCTCCAGGACATGCACCAGGGTGAAGAACTTATCCAGGTATGGGTCCTGAGTGGGGGAGTCAGGGGTGAGTGGGGAGGGGCCGGGGCCCCTGGTCCAGGGGATTGAGCTGGGGGCTGAATGGGCAGAGACACCAAGGCCGGGGATCAATGAATCGATAATAAATAAGAACAGAGATGAGACACTAGATGAAGGAGGGGAGGAGAGAGGGGCAAATGTGGGGGAGCAGAGACCATGCGCAGGGCCAAAGCCCCAGCTGGGGTGGCCACTGGCACTGCTGCCCGCCTGAGTCAGCAGCTGCCCAGGAGACAAGCCCAGCTGACCGAAGTCGCGTCCATGGCCCAAGGCCAGGCCTCTTCCTGGTCAGTGGGAACTATTGCCCAACTCCTGGGTTCCCGTCCCACCCCCTACCTGGGGATGCACGGAGGACACGGCCATGAGCTCCACGTTGAACACGCCCTTGTGGCCATCCACCCAGCGCATGCCCGGCAGCGCCACCTGTGGGAGGGACACACCGGTGGGCACTGGCCGGCCACCCCCGCTGATCAGGCCACCAGCCCCAGGCATTGCTGTATTGCGACACCACAGCCTGAGCACAGCCCTGCCTGGGGGGGCAGCTGTGCAACCTGGCCCCAGCCCAGAGCCGGGGGTAGGGGGCAGGGGGCAGTTGGGAGGGAGCACAGTGGGGTTCCACTGAGCAGGCTGAGAACGGAGATCCAGGGTGAACGTTAACTGAAGGGAATGCACGAGGAAGTAGCATAATGAAAGTCCTGAGGCCCCAGGGGCATTAGTACACAGCTCAAGGGTAAGTGGGAGGGCGACAGTGCATTCGTGGAGGGGTGGGGGTGACCGGCCCTGAAGCACTCCTGGGGGCAGGATGGGGGGGGGCAGGCAGGGCTGCTGGTAGGGAACAGTGAGTGCAGAGGCAGGCGTGCTAATGAGGCAGGGACAGTGGGGTCAGGGAGCGACACAAGGGGCAGCAGGACACAGAGGCAGTGACAGGGCTGATGAGGCAGCCGGGGGCCCTGGAGGCCCTAAGAGAGGACAACAAGGCTCCCAGGGTGTTTGTTGACAGGAAGGAAGGCAGGGCATGAATGGGGGGCCATGAAATGAGTGGGGAACGCTAACGGGACTGCTGAGGTACCAGGTGTCGGTGGGAAGGTGGGTAGTGAATGTATTCCCAGGGACCCAAGAGGCAGGGCCTGGAACTAAGGGGCCAGGGTGGGGGCGTGGGCCGGGGCACATACGTCAGGTGTGAGCATGGAGTAGCTGGGCGGGGGCTGGTCCACAGACACAGGGAGGCAGAAGGGGCCAGTCCTCAGGCGGCCGTGCTGCAGCAGTGGGATCCACTAGGAAGAGGCCGGGGGTCAGGGGTGGGCTGGGAAGGGGCCGGGAGGGCTGGGGCAGGGGCATGTGGGCCGGCGGGGGGCCTCACAGTGAAGCCCACAGGAGTCTCCAGGGCTGTGCCGGGCCGGGGCTGGCAGCTGACATGGTAGAAGGTGAAGAGCAGGTGGTGGTTCTCAGTCACACACGCAGGAAGATGCAGCTTGAACTCCTCGTAAAACTCGGGGGACCTGGCAGGACCAGACTGGGTTCAGCTGGGTTCTTGGATCCTTGCCCGACCCCCTGCTCGGTGGCGCGTTCCCCCAGTGCCGCAGGCCCCCGCCTCTCTGCTCTCCACCAGGGGCCCCCCACTAGCACTTCCAGAAGCTGCCCGCCCCCACACCCTGCCTACTTGTTGTGGTAGACCACGGGCGTGAAGGCCTCTCGGGTGAATTCGCTGCAGCTGGACTTGCCAAAGATGACCTGGGGGAGCAGGGCCATGAGGACCCCTACCGGGGACACCTCACCCACCTCTCCCGGGACGTCACTGACCGGCAGGGCCTGGCCGGGGTCCTCGCCCGCCATGTACTGCACTCGCACGGTGAGGTTGCGCACGGAGCCCTGGCGGCTGCTGAAGTTGAGGCTCTGTGGGTACACGTAGAGCAGGTTCCTGTGGGGACGGGCAGGGGTGTCAGAGGGGCAGAGAGGCTGGGCTACTGGTGTAAGCCTGGCCTGGCACCCGGGACAATGACCACATGGCTGAGGCATGGAGGGCTCAGTCCGGAAATGCGACTGGCAGAGGGTTGGAGACAGATGGGCACCCTCAGAGCACAGATGGGGAAGCCGTGGCAGGGGCGGGAACAGAGAGGTCTGGGGGCACTGAGAAGGCCAGGTGAGGTAGAGGGCAGAAGGATAAATGCGTGCTCAGGGTTGAGGTTCCAAGGTGTCCCTGGTGGCCAGTGGTCAGGCATAAGCCCTGCCTGGGCTGACACACCCCTCGCCCACTCAGGGGCCTGTCCACCCTTGGCCCCAGGAGAAGCCACGAGTTATATGTCCCATCTCTTAGGTCGGGAAACTGAGGCTACAGTCAGTGTAGGGGCTTGGCTGGGGTTGGAGGTCTGCTTCCCTCCCCAGGGGAACTCTGTGCGAGCCCTGACTGCCCTCTGGGCATCAGGTTCCCTGTCTGCACAATGGGGGCTTTGAGCCCCCAGCTGAGCCTCCGTAACTATACCAACAATGACAAACAACAGGAATGACAGTGACGGGACCAAGCACTAAGGGGGCGCCTGCATGCCAGGTTCTGTTCTAAGCACTCAACATGAAAAAACAAACTTACTTCTCACAGGCAGTTTGTGGCACAGGACTAACGTCACCCCCTTGTACAGGCAAGGAAAGGGAGGCACTGCCCAGTTATCCAGGGGGAAAAGTGGCAGTTAGCATTCATCTGGGAGATGTGTGGGTCTGGCAATTGGGCTGTGTGACCTTGGGAGTCTCTGCCACCTGCACCCACTCCCCTGGCTCTCAGCCAGGCCACCAAAGGCCCCTGGCATCCCAGGCTTGTGGGGAGGGTATGTGCTCAGCCGCACTGATGGCAGTGGAACAGCCCTGAGCAAACTGGAGGGACTCATAAAAGACCATTATTACCACTACTGCTGTGCCTATCCCACAGGTGGGGAACCAAAGCTTGAAGCCTCAGAGACCCCCAGCAGAACCTGGGCCTGTCCTCTCCCAGTGCCCCCAGCCCACACCTGGCCCTGAGCCCTGGCCAACGTGATTCCAGAACAGCCCAGTTGGACGTTCGCCTGATGCAACCATCATGCCACCACCAGGCCCTTGCACAACAAACACAGGCACCCGACTGGCTGGTTAACGATTGACCGGGGGTTAAAGGGGTGTCAGTGCATAAAAGGAGGCAGCGGTGGTGCGTGGCTGCACCTCCAACACCTCAGCCATGTCTCCGCTCACGCTGTGTCTGCTGTGTGCCCTAGCAATGGAAGTCCGGCCTGCCTCTGCAGCCCCCGTGGGCAGCCTGGAGCCAGCACAGGATGAGGAGCTGACCCTGCTCTTCCATGGGGCCCTGCAGCTGGGCCAGGCCCTCAACAGTGTCTATAGGACCACAGAGGCACAGCTGGTGGAGGCCAGGCATAGCCTAGGCCTCTACGGCCGTGCATTGGGGCTCCTGGGGCAGGAGGTCAACCAGGGCCAGGATGCAGCCCAGGAGCTACAAGCAAGCTTGCTGAAGATGCAGGTGAGCACTGTGGTCGGGGTGTTATAAGGCTGGTACAAATCTGCAGTAGACTTACGTCTAGGGGGTGAGAAACTGGGTTTGCCCAGGAAAAGGAGGTTCTTGGAATATAGTACTTTCAGTGTTAAAATCAGAAATATCCCAGGGAAACAAAGTTGGTCATCCTAATAATGTCTAACTATGGATCAGATAGAAGAGGATGCTCTAAAGCTGCAGGCAGAAGCCACAGCCCAGGCGCTGGGAGAGATGGCCCAGGGACAGCAGGTGCTGCGGGAGAGCATGCAGCACCTAGAAGTCCAGCTGAGAGGTGCTTGGCTGGGCCATGCCCGTCAAGAATTTGAGGCCTTAAAGGTAAGCAGCTCTCAGCCCTGGAAGAGTCAAGACCCTGATTCCCAGCCGGAACTTACTTCTAGAGCAAGTCCCAGAGATCCACGCCCGCCAGGTCAGCCTCCTAGCAACACGGCTTCTATCCTGTGTGACCCTGGGCGAAACCCGCATCCCTTTCCATTGCTGTTTCCCCATTTGCAAATAAAGGCAGCAGCTGAGGTCTCAGAGTAGAGCCTGGGACTCAATGCAGATAAGATACTCAGCATGGGGCCAGGAAGATGCTAGGTACTCAACGAACGACTACTTTCAGAGTAACTGGTAACATGTCTTGAGTGTCTAGAAAGTACCCAGCACTGTTCCCTTTAATAATTCCTATTATGCTCATTATTCCATCTAGTGAGTCCCACTTCTTCCCCATTTTATAGATGGGCAAGTTGAGGCCTGAGAGTAGCAGTGACTTGCTGGGTCATACTGATGCAATGGGGAGGATGGGCTGGGTAAGATCTGGGGATGGGAGGTGAGGCAGCCCCCAGCTGAGGTTTCTTTCCTGAACCCCCAGGCCCATGCTGACAAGCAGAGCCTCATCCTGTGGGTCCTCAAGGGCCACACGCAGCGACAGAGGCAGGAGATGATGGCTCAGCAGCACCAGCTGCAACAAATCCAAGAGAGGTAAGCCTGGCGGGGCTTGGCCCTGCAGGGCAACTGGATCGGAGGAGTGCAGGGTGGCTGAATGGAGGTCCTCCTGCCTTGGCTGAGTCTTATCTCCTTCTCAGACTCCACACAGCAGCACTCCCAGCCTGAGCCTGACTGGTGGAACTGAGGATGAGCTGTGCACTGAGGGATGCTCCCATGCCCCATGTGGCCCCCGCACGGGGAGGAGAGCTGCCTGCCTGCTGGGCCAGGCTGCCGTGCCCCGCTTCCAGCCAGACACAGAAGCAGACAAAGAAGCAGGTGGGGCCGAAGGCCGAAGAGATGGCCCCACTGAGGAGGGGCGAAGGAAGACATGTGTCCCTTCATGCCTACACACATACCCATTAAAGCAAGTAGTGGCATCTCACCCTGGGTGTCTTATTGGTGTTTGGGAGAAAGGGGACCTCAATTTGCATGATGCCTGAATGCCCCCCATTCAAGTGCCCAGCTGGGTCCTAGAGGCTGTACCTGTAGCCTGTGTGGGGAGCGTAGACCTCACGGGTGGGGAACTCCAGGATCTCCTTGGTGGGCCGGCCCCTAGGGTCTGGGTAGGGCTTGACATGAAGCAGCTCCGGGGACAGGCAGAAGTGGGGGTTCTCAGGGGCCGGGGAGATGTCGATCTTGAGCTGAGCTGGGGAAGGGGAGCTAGTTTGCACCTGCCTGGGAGCCTCTGGACTGGGCCCCATCCTCTCTGGGTTTTGGGGTGAGGGGTTGAACTCTCCCACAGCTCCCTCCGGTGGCTGCCCTTCAGGTACTTAGGCCAGAAGTCACCCTCAACTCCCACCTCTTGACCCCATATCTGATCAGCTCTGCCCCTCAGCAACTACATCCCTCAGCTGACCCAACATCTGTCTTATTTATTCTGTTTCTAATCTGTGGCCCCCACTGGAAGGTCCAGCCCCTGAGGGTGGGGTTTGTCTATTATGGTCACTGTTGTGTCCCCAGGGCCACACACAGCAGGCAGTCGGTGTGTGTTTGTTCAGTGACTGTATGAGTGACACCTCTTTTTTACGGGTGCGCTACGTACCAGTCACTGGCCGCAGACGCCGCAGCAAGGATGATGGGCGCCGCATGTCAGCCAGGAACTTGAAGAGATCCTCATCACTGAGCCGCTCAGCTTCCTGCACCAGACCCATCCCCATGAGCTGAGTCCCCGGGGCCTGTGCGGCCACCGAGGTCCCTTGCCACCCCTCCCCTATGGCCAGGATACCTGCTTAAAGAAGTTGGTGACAGTTAGTGTAGCAGGGCGGAAGCCGGAGAAGCTGCAGGCATCATCTCCGCTACTCATCCGGTCTGGGGGCCCCCGACGGCGGCGGTCAGTCCAGGAAGGTCGGCGCTCTGGGGTAGGCAGTGACAGCCACGGATGGAGGGTTGAGGTAGAGGCACAGAACAACTTGGCAGACTCAGCCTAGTACAGAGTATGGCCAGCAGAGGGCGCCCCTTCCTTTTCCCATTAGCTCCGCCCCCCAACCATCAGCCCCGCCTCCTCACCACCCTCTGAGTCGGAATCACGGTCAGGCTGCCCAGCACTGCTCACGATGTTGGCTAAGTGCACAGCTGTCCAGGCGAATGGCATACGGTAGCGGCCCAGGCGAGTGCAGAACTGCTCGGCCGCCAGGCGGAGCTTCTCCAGCTTCTCTTTGTTCTGTGGGAAGACCCTCCGACACCCACAAGCTCAGTGCCCCAGGCCTGCTTGAATGCAGGATCTGCCCTGCCAGGTGGCCCGTTCATCACCAGGACCAGCCCCCACCTGCTTACCTTGGCTGTGTCTGCCTCCTTCATCACCATGTAGGGCTCAGAGCACTCACTGATGTCCCCCTGCTGTAACACCTTCTCCAGCTGAGGGGCAGGCAGGTGGGCCCAGTGAGGCACTGCTGGACCCTAACCTCCCCACCCTAACCACCTGAACCTGTCGTGAGCCCCCAGATACCTCATCCACTAGAGCTTTTGCTCTAACACCTCCCATGGCTCCCACTGCCCTTGGGATTCAGTGCTAGCAGTGGACTTGCCTGGCCAGCTGTCCCCTCCCCACCTTTTGAAATCGCCCCAAAGCCTAGGGTCCATAGTTGCCTTACATCTACAATTCTTTATTGGTATGAATGGAGGCCACTCCGAGTATGGCTCTGGGCCATGGGAACTTCAGTCCTGAACGTTCCTCGGTGTGGGATCCCGGACCAGGTCCCTTACCTGTTGCCCATCTGTAAAATGGAGCCGTGGCAACCCCTCCCTTCCAGGACTGCTGTGAGGACTAAAGGCAGGGCTCCCTGAGAAGCCTGACTGACTGTGAGCAGTGCCTACCTATAGCTGCCCCACTGATATCACTAGTGTAACCTAACTGAATGTTTGGAAAAGGAAATTTGAGCTCACTCCTGGAAACAGAAAATCCCAAATACATGTGCCAACTAGGTCTTTCCTTCCCCCCAAAAATCGAAAAACTCTCTGGTTTAAAAAAATATTTTAAATGCCTGTCCCCCTACACCAGGCTTCCATTTCTCTACAGGGTGCTCACTCATGGGTCTTGGCTCAGCTGTCGCCTCTCCATAGAAGCCCTCGGTGGTTTCTCTCCACCTGGGCCAGGAGCCTCCTCTGGGCTTGTCCCACTGCCTGCATTTTCCCCACAAGAGGCCTGCTCATCCTTCCTGGGACATGTCTGTGTTCTTCCACAAGAGCAGGGACTGCACCTGTGGCATTCACCATTACCACCCCCTCGCCCAGCCCCAGTGGGCACCTTGATGACCAGGAAGATGTCAGGTGAGGGGTAGGTCACGGAGAAGATGGCGGAGCGGGCCAGGGTGGAGATGGCTGGATGAGTGCCATGGGCACGCAGCAATCCCTTCACAGAGTCTGAGTTCAGGTCAAAGTAGAAGTTCTCCGAGATCTGGGGGCACAAGAGGCAGCTGGGCCACCACCTCCAGAAAGCCCACAGCCCTGCGGCGAGGAAGGGAGTGAGGGAGGAAAGGGAAGAAAGGGGCTCCTACCTTTTTCTTCTCCCGCACATCGTACAGGGCCAAGATGCCAAAGATGGGCTCGATCTCGATCTCGAACCTGTGGGTGAATGGGGCGGTCCGGCAGGGGCTCTCCCTGACATTCCCGCCATCCACGCCCCCCGCTTCCTCCCAAGGCCCAACCCAGCTTTGGCGCAGCATGGGGGGCACCTAATTCCCACTGGGCCACACAGAGCCACCACTTAAGGGCTTGCAGAAAAGACCTGTCCCATGTTGCAAAAGAGGAAACTGAGGCACAGACTTTTTTCTCCCCTCCTCTGTCAGTAATTCACACAGAGCCCCCCACCCAAAAATTATGGCCCTTGTTCAGCTGGCACAGAGTCAGCTTTGGGCCCAACAATCTTCTCCCAGCTTGAAATTCTCAACTCTTGGGCCTCCCTGACTCACCTCTCTGGGGTGTCCTCTGCCACCTGTGCCACCCTGGGCTGAGTCCTGAATGGCCACTGTAACCACCTCCCTGTCTTACTCTGACTTGCCCGGCCCCCACTCACTACCTGCCTTTTAAGGAAGCATCTTAAAACTTAAATTTTGAGGCTCCCCACTGCCCTGAGAACAAATCCCTGCATGGCGCGACCTCGCCCCACCCCTTGGCCTCTCTCCCCCTCTCCAGAGGTCTCCCTGCCTTTGGGTGTGCTGTGTGCCCCACCGACAGTCCTGTGTGGTCATCCCACCATTACAAACCCTGGACACAGTAGGCACTCAATGAGTATTGAATGACTGGATGAGCTCACAGAGCCAGTTCCCAACTCTTACGCTTGGGGCAGGCAGCCTATCCAGGCCTCAAGCCAGACGGGCCTCCCTTTCCTGCCCCTGTCCAAGCAGGAACTCAAGATGGGGGGGGTGGGGCCGGGCTCAGGTCCAAGTCCACATCCTGTTCAGCTCCGTTCCCACACATTTTTGGCTGCTCCCTGGGGGGCTGATGCGGAAGGGGCCTCAAGCCCCAGGGTCACCAGCACCCTCTCCACTTGGGTCCATGGAGTGGGCCCATGCTGGACCATGGCCTCACAGGTTGTATGATTTGGGGCACCATGACTTCATCATGCTGTACCTGAGTTTTCCCACTTGTGGCCACTTCACAAGATTGTAGTGAAGAATAGAGTTAATGTATGTGAAGGGCTAAGAACAGAGTCTGGCACACAGCTAGCACTTAAGGACTGCTGAATAATAAAAAAAGAAGCCTATTTCCCATCTAAGAGCCCATGGCCTCCTTGGTCTCGGGCTGCACACGGTCAAGGTATGGCGCTCGCAGTGAGCACTAAGTGGGTGCCACCCCGTAGCCTATCCGGTCCCCTTGTGTGTCTGTAGAGACGGGTAGGTAAGCACACTCACTTGAGAGACAGACACTTGACCAGGATCCTCTGTCCGAAGTGTTCGTGGGGCGGGTCCGGGTAGCTGCAGCGTTCCACCACCTCATCCTGCGAGAGCCCAGGGGCAGCTGGGGCACGTCCTCCTCCAATGCACGGCCGGGGACCAGCTCCCCCCCAGCCTGACTCCCTTGCCTCTGAGCCTTTGCGCATGCCGTCCCCAGCCTGTCAGGCCTTTCTTCTCCCCTCCTCTTTATCTGGCCGACATCTGCTCGTGGGTCAGGTCGAAGCTCGGCTGGCACTTCCTCCCGGAAGCCCTCCCTGACCCCTGAGGCCTGGGCGGGCACCTCCTCCAGGTGCTCATTCACAATGCTCTGCTGCAATGGGCCGTGTGGCTCTGGGCACTGAAGGGCAGGCGAGGGACAATTACCAGCACCTTACGTTGGTATCCTCTGTCTGGGCTGTAATGTCCTAGTGGGAGGCTCTCTCCTCCACTAGACAGTGAACTTGGGTGGGAAGGGACTGGGTCTATCTAGCCCGTATCTGTATCCCCAGTGCCTGCTACACAACAGGCACCCAAACATGTTGGTTGAAAAAATACAGAGATCTACTAAAAATTGGATAAACACAGGTGTATACAGAAAGCATTTGATTAATGATGACTGTGTATTAGGTACCTAATAAACACTGATTGAATAAATATAGGAATATACAATAAAGACTTAATAAATCACTGAGTGAAAACATAGGTATATATATACTAGGTAACCAATAAAAGTGGGTTGGATAAATATTGGGGGATATAATAGGTGTCTAGTAAAAGTTATGGATAAAAATAAAGCATATACACTAGGTGCCCCACCAATAAGCACTGGTTAGATAAATAGAGGCACATAATAAGATCTCAATAAATTCTGTTTGATTAAAGATAGGACTATACAGAAGGTATATAGTGAGTATTGGTTGACTAAATATAAGAGTACATATTAGCCAACTAATATAAGCCACTGAATAAAATACAGAGTATACAGCAGGCACCCAGTACATGCTGGTGGGGT